AAAATCTACCATCTTAGTTTTTCTCTCTCCTAATCTATTTATCTATATATATATTTATTTGTTTAATATATTTATTCGTTTAAATACGTTGTTTCAAACTTTATATACAATTTAGCTTGTTTCTGTCATTTTTACTTTTTCTAATATTTCTACTACCAAGGACTGGGCCTTCCGCATATTCTTATTTTCATTTCTTTAATAATTCTGACTAGATACTTCGTAACTATCCCGCGACCTCGTAGTTTCGCTGACTTGTTCGGTGAGTTTTTTTTATTATTATTTTTAAGATTTATTGACCTTACTTTTATAATTCTTTTTTTTAACTTTAAATTTTATTAGTTTAAATTTTATTAGCTTTTCTTTTATAGTTTAATATAAGTGTAGCCTTTATTAATTTTTCTTTTATAGTGTAGGATAAGTGTATGTATTGTGGGATGAATTGATGCACAATATCCATCTAACAAAAACTGCAATGTGTGTAGAAGTTACCATTTATCTATAAATATTTCTGATAAGTTAGAGAAATATCCATCAATATATCTCAATAATTCGGGATAAAATCAATCGGAAGCGTCTACAATAAGTACTCACATTGTCGTCAAATTATTTCTCGTATGAAACAGAGATAATAGTGCAAAATGAAGTTCGACAATGGTCGTGCTCCTCAAATGTTTTGTCTTGACCCTGAATCTATATTATATATTATGTTTATAACTTTACACTTAATCACCAGTCAGAAGTTCAATGTTTTTTATGCTCCTGTTTAGTTTAAACTTAACTGATAAAGGAGAAATTTGTGGATATTATTATTATTATTATTATTATTATTATTATTATTATTATTATTATTTTATATAATTTTTTTTTATATAATTTGCTTGTTGGCTGTCAAACTTAATAACATTAATACTGTGTTGTAGGTTATTTATGTTGTAATGTTGAGTTTTGTAGTTAATGATGGCAAATAGTCTGTACTATAAAAGTTTGAATTTTTCTGGTTTTATATATCTTTCATTGATGGTTTATCTTGTTTCTTAGATGATAATGGATGCCAAGGATATAAAATCAGATCTCCATGCCCTAAGGAGACTATATGGCCTTCTTACAAGAGATGAAGATGATGTGTCTGCGTCACCTGTTGAATTGGTAAGATTTCCTTTGTATTGAAATGATTCTATGGAATTTTTTATATTCTTTTTCATTTTGAATTAAGCATTGTTAAGGGAGTTAATTTACTTTACCAGATTGGTTTTAACATCTGACTGGCCGAATTATGTGTTCATAAAATTTAGATTTAGATTGTTGATAATATTATGTTTGATATGTGTATTTTTTTGTCAACTCAATTGGTAAATCAGTATGCAGTCTGGTAGTGTAGTATGTCTCTTGTTTCTCAAGGCAAATTTTGCTTCAAAGTCTGGTAATTAAATGTTATTATATTAATTAAATTCTACTATGACATACAAGGATATCCCATTAAAAATGAAAAACCATTATATTTTTCAACCTAACATAGTGTGATGCTATTCTCCCACACCAACATCAAGTTACATACTCAAATTACATAGCAAACAAAATTCAGATGTTAGGTTGTCTAACAGTAAAGAAACCATATTAATTCTATTGTAAAAACTATACAATTATATTATGAAATGTCAAACTTTCATATTAATTCTATTGTAAAAACTATACAATTATTTGAGTTAGCTGCTGGATGAGCATGCAAGAGTTCTACTAAAGAGCTTATTGGATGCAACTACTAAAAGGATTCTCAAGGAACACTTAGAGGTATGTACATATTATATATATATATGCCTTTAATCTAATTATTTTGCATCTAAATATGATTTTTTGTTATCTCAATAATGTTTATTTCTAATTTATATCCAATGTGACTGATTACTTACCTGAAGTGTGACTAATGTGCTATCAGATGATTGAACAGAGAAAGAAACTCTGCAGGCTCTGTCAAAAGAACACTGTTGTTGATCATATTGAATTTGAAGACTCCCATCATTCCAACGATCGTTTATCGAAAGAAGCTTCCGAAACAATCGGGAGAATCGAATCTTGCATTTCGACATTACGCCGTATACGAAATTCTTGTTTGGAACTCAAGTCGTCTAATCCAGCCGTTCGGTTTGGAGTTTCGAATCGAAGCACGATGGATTTTCGAAACCCACCGGACTCAAGACACAAGGGCAAAACCGGAAAAAACGAGCACTATATAACCGCGACAAGAGCTTCTTCACGGAATCAAGAATCAGACGGTACATCTACCGACTCGTATTCAAACTCGACAAGCCTTCAAAGTAGCACAATTGGTAGTGACGATGAAGTGTACTCATCTACAGATCAAAAAACGGGAGATTACGTGAGTTCATCAACAAGTACATGGAGCCAAAACGAAACTTCCTCTCAATCTTACGAACCGATTTCGAGAGCCAGCAGTATTATTAGCAAAGGCTACTCATCCAACTCCGATTCGAACTACTCGTCAGCATCGAACAACAACAGAGCTAATAAAGGAAAAACCCGTAAAAAACGAGTCGGGATATGGAAGAGAGTGAAAGATAAAGTGGCAATCATTTTTCACCACCATCATCATCACCATCACCATCACCATCATCACCACAAAGGTAAAGTCGATAAATTCGAGAGGCAAGATGATGAGGTGGCGTATGGAGAAAATGCGGTTGAGAAGGTGAAGAGGTCGATTGTACGCCAAAAGGTTCAACCGAGACATTTTCAGGGGCTCATCAAAGGTCTCTTTAGGCATTCGAAACAGTCGAAAGCAGGAAAGTTGGGTAAAGTTCAGCATCATGATAGGCAAAAGAATTTCAAGTCTAACTGGTGGAAAATGGTGAAGCAGCGTACCAAGTTGCCGAATAAAACTCGTGTGAAGGTTGGCTTGGGTAAAAAGAAAGCCCGTTTGAAAGCACTTCCCTCTATTTACCGATAGATATATAGCTATCTTCATTTGTTTGAGTTGTGGAATCAGATACATTGATATAGATTTTGTTGATCAGTTGTATTTGAATTCCTTTTGGTGCTTGTTTACTGAATGGCTGTAAGGATTACATTTTACTAGTTATTCTTTCAAAAATCATATACAGAATACATTTCACTTGCTTCAACTAGGTCACAGGTTCAACATGTAGCCTTGCTTTATACTATATGATGATGAGTATTAGTACAATGTTTTAAAAAATTCAACATGTGGTCCTGAGAATATTACATCGTTTAGACGACCCTCATTTACAACATCAACTTGCGATTTTCGATTAGATTCCATTTGATTAGTTAGTTCCAATTCTTGTTGTTTCAAGTGACAATGTTTTACATGTCAACAGTACTGTGGTCCTGTGGTTATTACATTGTTTGGACCCTTCCTTTACAACATTACCTTGTAATGATTTGGTTTGATATTTGTGTGGTGGATAGTCTTGGAGCTTTTTGTGTGAAAGGCTATATATATAGTTCATACTTGCTTGATATATATATGGTTTGAAATTTTCAATTAGTGTGTTAGTATATGCCAGTTCTACTTGTATATCTCAGTTTTCTTTATTCATTTATTTTTTCCCATAATAATAATAATAATACTAATAATAATAATAATACTTGTGTTACTATCTTATATGTGCAGATGAGGATTTTAATGAGACATACCCCATCACCTGTCTTTGATTCAGTGTAAGAGATCCTTCTCTATGTTTAAGTTTCGATGGATAATGCGTCTTAATGAAAAATGCAGAGTTTGGTATGCATATTATGGATAGAATATGTTTCAACAAATATTAGTGTGACATTAAATTAACAATGAATTGTTGTTTGAATAGTTGGAACTCATCAAGAATCTTTGTGGAAAAATCGATGAGCAGTGAGTCAAGATCCTTAAAAATGTTTATTTGATTCGAAGACAACTCCTCTATACGTTCAAGAACATGTGTTTTATTTGTCCAGCTGAATCGTCACCTTCTTCGACTCCGTCGTGCTTATATTTTTAAACTGATGAAATCATAACATAAGAAAAAGGTTATGACAAGTTAATGACATATCAATAAGTACTATAGTATTATATTAATTCAACAATTAAACTTTTACTTTGTCTGAAGGGAGGTTCAAGAAGAACTTGTCGATGAATTATCTATCTATTTTTTAAAAACATATTTCTTGTCATTAAGTACTATAGTATTTTTGCAGCCCCTTGTAATTTATGCAGCAAAGCCTACTTTTTACTTTTTGAGAAAGTCAACTGCATAGTCATACACCTCTTTACCCCAAGATAGTGGTCGCACTTAGAGGTGGCCAGTCAACGGATCCATGCCCAGCCTGACCCGGCCCGCCGGGTCGACGGTCCGTCTGGCTGAGGCCCGGTACCGAACCGGACAAAGGGGCGGTCCGGGATCTGTTCTGAGCCCGGACCCGCCGGTTCATCGACCCGGCGAATTAAATATTAAAAAAAATAAATAAATAAATACAACACCGTTGCCGGCGGTCGGCCCGCGAATCGGCCCGGCCCTAATGAACCTGGACCGAACCGCGACCCTTGCGGTTCAATCCAATGGACCGGCCCTTATATGGCCGGTTACGGGCCGGTCCGGGCCGGTTCGGTGCCGATTTTCGGTCCGATTCGGCCCATGGCCACCTCTAGTCGCACTCTCCGTTATCAATAATGTCCAAAAAATTTCTATCAAAAATGAGATTATCCTGAATCCCCATAGAAAAATTGCAAGTAGATGAAGTTTGGTCAGTTTGACGACATCATCATCGCTTCTCCAAACCTTGTTTACGAACGCCACTTAATGCAATTTCGATTCAACCCAATCATCGAGAAGTATCTATCAAAAATACCATCTGTGATTAGTGGGAAGAGAAGTTTCTTACAAGAACCCTTGCATTTCAGGATGCTGATGACCGCGAATTTCTTGATACTAATCTCACGATCTTTCCACCAAAGTCAAACCACATCTCATTAGATCTCTCCTGGTGTAGCTTCCTTAATGCATCACATTCACCAGCTGGTTTTGAACCTTACAATGAGGAAGGTCGAGAAATTTGAAGAAGGCACATTGTATGAACATGTCCAACTGATGCTTGGTCAGAAGGCTTATTCTTGGCAATAGTAGTGGTAGACTTGCTATTGTCATTATTTTTGGTGATTTTCACTGTAATACTCTTGCATTTGGTTAAATCAACTCCTTGTCCTATTAATAAGGGAATCTACACTCTTTCTCATTCATTTAATCACAACGGCTCTTTTACATATATACCGTAACTCTTTCTAAATAATTGCACATATACTAATCATAATTTTTATTTGCAATTATACCACAACCCTAAAAAAAATTGTGTTTATACACACACCCTAATCCCTAATTCCCACTTTGCGCTCTCTCACCATGTTCGAGTGAATAGGCGAGCAGCACATCCACAATTCCCTCATCTTCCTCCTCTGATGCTTCCGCCACCGAGCCTCCCCGTCATTTCCGATCTCCTTCTCTTTTCCGCACACGGCCCATCTCTTTTTACTCAAAATCTGTTAAATCTCCTGGTCGCGCTCGTCGTGGTGGCGGTGTTCGTCCTGTTGCTGACGCACGCCACCGCCAACGTCTTGGGGGCGCTGCTCATCGGGGTCGCGGTGGTGCTGGTTCACGTCGCCATGAGGAGGACCGACGATTTTCTCGCCGACGAGGATGGTTTGTAAATTTTGATTGTTCTAGAGACTGTTCTCATTTATAAGCTCTAAGTTGCAAATTTGGGCTGCTTTAGATGCGCAAGGAAGGAGATGAACAATCAGATATGAGATTTTGTCCCAGATCGGCCGTCGCCTCTCTCGATGTTTATTTTACATTTATGTTTGGTATATGAACCGAATATTCGTCTGATTTTGTCTCAGATTGGTCGCCGCCTCTCTCGATGTTTATTTATACCGAATATTCGTCTGATTTTGTCTCAGATTGGTCGCCGCCTCTCTCGATGTTTATTTTATGTTTATTATACGTTTATGTTTGGAAGCGAATATCCGTACCCGATTTCGTCCCAGATCGATCGCCGCCTCTCTCGATGTTTATTTTACGTTTATTATACGTTGATGTTTGGTATATGAACCGAATATTCGTACACATCGGGAGATTTGATGATACTTATAAATTAAAAATAAACTCAACATAAGCTCAGAAAAAATAATAGTTAGTAAATTTAGAATAAAAAGTTGTTATATGTGCAAATAATTATGGTGAATTTGGTAGGTTTGCATATAAATATATATTGGATGTATATGTGCAATATAAAGAATAATGGTTGGTAAAAGGTGCAAATTCCTCAATCACAATTTACACTTTTTCATTTCCACTAAACATCTACTCATATTGGTTAATTCATTTAATGCAAACATATGACACCGAATACCCACTCATGCAATAATATTTTTATATTCTATTCTTAATAAAAATAAATATATTTTTTTAAATAGGTGATGTAGGGGAAGCATATGAGTGGGAAAAATAAACGAACGAGATATTCTCTCGATAAAACTCACAATCTCATTTTTCATTCAATAATCAACTAATGAAAATAAACTAGGAGGAGTCCTTTATATAAGGCTCCTAACCGTAGACCTAACTTGTCCAACAAGACAAGAACTCTTATTAAATATTAAACAATTCCTAACTTATTCTCCAAGATAACTAATAATAATAATAATAATAATAATAATAATCTAATTATTCTGCATCATTCTCCTCCGGTTGAGCAGGATTCGCCCTCGAATCCGACCCGTTCCCGTGGGATACGTTCGCAACACAGCAACAGCCCGAACGTTTCCCCCGATCGAACACGAAGGTTGAAAGTCGTCCAACAATCTCGAAGGTAAACATAATCTCGGTCAAGGATTCAACTGCCGCAAAGTCACATGTATACGACACCCGACGCAAAGCCCACACAACCGAATGAACACAAAACAGACCACATCGTTCATCGCGCATAAATCTATAACTACGGCCAAGCATCCCGGTGTTGGGAGACTTCGGGAACAACAATCGAAAAATGGCCCACCAGTTATGGAGTCTCGGCTTCGGCTCCGAAAAACCATCTTTAGCCAAAATACTCAAAATATCGGGTGTGAATGACGGTTGCCCATTCGAAGACTCAACCATTCCGACGTCCCACGCGGGACCCATATTACTGCAAAAATATGTCTTCGTCACCGGAGGCTCTTCATCAAAAATTGGCGGACCATCGTAAATATCGCACGTGTCAGGCTCAAAATTCAGGGAATCTATAAACTCGAAGTCAAAGCCTGTTTGTGGCTGTTCAGGCCCAAAATAAGGATTAAATTCATCCTTCCCCTGAGCCCAATAAATTGAATTCGGCGCAGGCCCAAAAACGACATCACCCTCACAAGCCCAAAAAATGCTTTTGTGAGGCCCAGAAGTGCAACTGGAGTCGTCTCTTTCACACGCCCAAAATCCGTCTCCATGTACGAAACTACCTCCAGCCCGCTGCTGCTCGCGAACTCGGTGCTGACCTGTGGTTTCGTCTCCTCGCCATGGTGGTCGATCTGCCAACGGGTTAGCCGACCAGGTAAAGTCACCATCCTTGATGCCGTTCAGAGGTGGCGGGGATCGCTGCCGGGGCGCCCCGACATGGCTGCGTCCCCCACAACCGCCTCTGTCTCCCCCGCAAAAGCCACGGCCCACAGCCCCATCGCGGTTCGTCTGCAATTCCGAAACAATCACGTTGTTAAGCGTCAAATGCACATCCTCGATCCTCGTCGAAAGATCGGCAAACCAATCCGTGAAACGCACGTCCAATTGTTCAAATCGGTAGTCGATCTGTTGAAATCGATCGTTGAAGGTTGCGTCACGCCGTTCGTCTGCGGCATCTTCTCGTCCCGGCGACATCGCGAATCGTACTGACTGCTGATACCAACTGATGTAGGGGAAGCATATGAGTGGGAAAAATAAACGAACGAGATACTCTCTCGATAAAACTCACAATCTCATTTTTCATTCAATAATCAACTAATGAAAATAAACTAGGGGGAGTCCTTTATATAAGGCTCCTAACCGTAGACCTAACTTGTCCAACAAGACAAGAACTCTTATTAAATATTAAACAATTCCTAACTTATTCTCCAAGATAACTAATAATAATAATAATAATAATAATAATAATNNNNAAATTATACATATCCGCGTGCATAATCATAAAGGTCAAAGTTTTTAGATAGAGTTGAAGGATTCAAAAACTTTCATATTTAAAGTTTTAAAAACTGTCTAACATGATGAGTGTCGGTTGATGAGATATTTGGCTTATTGGCTAGGGAACAGTACATTATACACATGATTCCAAATAAAAAAAAATGTCAAATCAAATCATATAAACATAGATAGCTTTAGTTAAACACAAGGCAGTAGATTAAAATTTGCTATCAATTAGTTGTGAAAGTCGGTCCACTTATCTTTGGGTAATCATTGAATTCAACCCAGAAATCATGAGGGATATGTCACAACTCACACCAACATATTATTTCTACAATGCCACGTCACATAAAATTCTGATCAATAGCCAAATTGATAATAAGTATATAGCATTTTTCGTAGCTACTAACAAAAAACTTTGTGTTATGTTTTTGTAAGATCTATCTATTTTATTTAAAGGAAAAAAAAAAACAAATTGTCTTACAAGCTTTAAAAAAAATATTTCTTCTAAAGAAAATCGGTGTATTGATTGTTAAAAAAAAATACTATGCACGCCAACATTTTTAATCGATTTATTGTCAAAGAACCACTTATCCAAAATTAATAAATTATATGTCATTTTGTTCATTTTATCATTGGATTCAGAAAGCCAAAATTAATATTGCTTTGATTGAGTTACAATTTTTTTCATTTCATTTTAGGAACTTCAATCTTCAGGAGATAAATTGTTTTCCTCTATTGGGATGAAATTTGTCAGCTTTAAAATATTAGGAGATAAAATAAAGAAACAAATATTTAAGAGAGAAAAAAAAAATATTTCCAAAATAAAACAGTGAAGTTGCGTTAATAGGAGATAAAATAAAGAAACAAATATTTAAGAGAAAAAAAAAATCCAAAATAAAACAGTGAAGTTGCGTTGTCATCACCACACAATGGGCCCAGTTTGTTTTGACAGTCCCATCAATTAGCACATTTAAACCAATGGGCCATAGAAGGCAAAAGTACAATCTTACCCTTTCGGCAACCTTTTCCCTCCCAAAAAGGTCATAATAGTGTCCAACAAATCTACCACCCAAAGTCCCTGCACCAGCACCACACACAAGCACACCTAAAATTCCTTTTCAAAATTTCTATTCCCCAAAAGTGAATTTAATCCAATTGTAAAAACAATTCAGACAGCAAGCCCACATTCTCCTATCCATCTCTCCTTACCCTATCTCTGTTTTCTTCTACCTTTTTTCCATTTTTCCCTAATTTTTTTCTTTTTAAAAATAAAGAAATAGAAGCTTCCATTGGAACCCGACGGCGCGTGAGAGGGTTTTACATAAGGTTTTATGGTCTGTTTGGAATTTTCAAGGTACGATTTTCCCCCATTTTTTATGTGTTTGTTCTGATTTTCTTTTCATTTTTCGATTTGGACTCAAAAGGTTTGATATTTGGTTTTCTTCTTTGGATTGCATGCATGTTTTGTTACACAGTAAAATGGTTTTCAAGTTGTTCATTTCTCGTTTTCCATTTTTTCTTGTTTTAAATGTTTTTATTAATTTTTTGTTCGCGCAGCCATTGTAACCATGACCTAGGTTTCTTTAGGATGAATGTCGGTGATGATACAGTTGCATCTCGTAGAACGACGACGTTATGACCTAGGTTTCTTTAGGATGAATGCCGATGATGATACAGTTGCGTCTCGTAAAACGACATCGTACTAGTTAAGGTCGTAGATGACCGACTTTTAGAATTTAGGATAAAATCGAAAGGGAGAAAAGTAATTTGTAAAACTAGGCTTTTTTTATGGCACAATTTAATTATGAAAGAAATATTTTTTTTCCTCTTGACCATTTTATTTGATGAAATGAAATACTACAATTTATGCTAAATTTACTTTAATTGACTAAGTAAAAAAAGAAGCAAGCATTTTCGTTACTAATTTAATAAATACGATACTATTAATTGTAATAAGATTCCATCAAATTTTATGAGTCCTATTTCCATTGCAAGGTCTTATCGCGTGTCAATTTCAGAAAGTGTTTTGAAGTGGTAAAAGAAGAATTAAAATGAGTCGTATCGAAATTCGGCATGATTTTTGTAGACATAGGATTGTGATTGGTGCAGGTGAGTAAAAACTTGTCAAGGTTAAATTTCCCACTTTGCATTGTCCAAATATGTTTAAATTCTTGACCAAAATCTAATATAGAATAAAAACCAATCAAAAATCCCAGTCTGTTCACTGTCCATTTACTTACCTTTTAACAGTTACACAATTTTATTGAACTACAAAGTTGGTTCTTGATTCTTGGCTAAGGAACAGAACAATATGGTTTGTTTCCACTCTCATGTTGCAGCATATTTTGCATTACTTTTAACTTTGAAATTGGATATTCAACTAGTAATTTGGCTACCCTGTTTGTGTGTATATGTTATCAGAATATGGATGAAGTCGAGCCTTATGATTGTTGGGAGGTCGTTGTAAATGGATGTTTGGAAGACAAAGATTTGGACAATATTTTAAGCATATTGGACTCTCCGGTTGAGGGTTTTGAATGGAATGGGATTTCTGGGGAATGGGATGCCAGCAAGTCGCATTGTCTCGGGCCTATACAGCCCAACGGGCTGACTGATTCGGGCCAGCTGGTTTTACCTCCTATCCCAACTGCCAACGTGAGTTCTTTTGTTCACTGATTGGTTTTCTGTTGAATCATGTGTAAAGTTCTTATCTATGTGTTCCCGGTAGAAGTAAATAAAAATATATTTAAATAAAAAGAAAGAGACAAAGAAGAATCAAATTTTCTCAAGTAGATCAATGTTATTCGCAACACAATCCGGAATTTTCTCAAGCAATTTTCTGTGTTTACTCTTACCATGTGCAAAATATAACTTAAGAAAACAAAGTTGCTCGACTGTGTTAACATTCATGTGAATCATTGCTTCTCGTATTTTATTCGGTAATATGTTGTATGCATTGCATTGCTGCTGGATTTATTTGTAAGAGTTGCATTACTGCCCTTTTTTTTTTT